CAGCTGCAGTCCTTGCTGCCACAGAGCTGCATCTCAGCCCCATACAGCATACCTGGGCTTTTATGTACAAGAAAAACGAACTTCTATCTTGTTTCCATTCCGGCTTTATTAGGATTTCTAATATTTGAGGTCAAAGCTAATCTGACTAATGTAATTGAGCTGAGCTTCAAAGAAGCAAAACCAGGGAGGGGCGAAAGAGGATGAAAGAGACCTGACCTGAGGCTTGACACTGAGTTTAGAAGGTTTGGGGAGTGAGGTAGAAGAGAGGAAGGAAGTCAGTACCATCGCCGAGATTTCAGAAGTAGCCCCACTCCAGGATAGGTGGTTAATGCCTAATCATAACAGTAACAATGGCAGCTCATCATTGGGAAAGAGATGAGCCGACCACCCAGTGTGCTTAGCAAGTGCTTCCATGGGTAACTTCATTTCACTCTCTCCAAATTCCAACAAGCTAGGTATGACTATTGGTCCTAATTTAATAAGAAAACAAAGATCCAGAAATAACTTGCCTAGGACCCTTGGCCACCTAGTGGTGCTTGGAAGTTGAGTCCAGGACCTGTGTAGTGCTCAGTAGGCTCTGCTGCTGTCCAAATCTCTCCTCCACCTCCCACCACCTGCATTCTCCCATGCTCACCCTGGGCCCCCAAAATGCAAACAAGGAAGAGCTCACCAGCAGCTACTCTCCCTGGGGAAGGGATGAGAACGCCGCCCATGTCGAAAATCACCGCTCGGTAGGCACTGCCTCCAGAATGTGTCCATCGGTGGGCTCCTTGCCGCCTGCCCTGGATGCCCCTCAGGAAGGCCGCCTTCCATGCCCACTGGAGGTCTGAGGACCGGAAAAGCCTCCCTATGCACATGGTGAGGCTGAGGCTGCATGAGAACAAGCACAGCTGGACCACAGTGCTTCCCTGCAGGAGCTTAGGGTTGCCAAGTGGACATCCCAAATGATCTCCCACGAATGCTTTGAACCGCATCCACATAACCTCAGCATCCTCCCTCCCCGACTGTTCATGAAGGGCTCCATCACCTCCTCAGCTGTACCAACTAGAAGAGAGGGATTCAGCCTGTCTTTCTGCCATCTTCACCTGGCTACTCTCAGCAGTAGTTGCTCTGTGCTGCCAATCTGCTGGCCTAGAAACTCCACGTCTACTTTCCTTTCTCATTGTGCCACCTCCATGTGTGGATCCTAACTGGTCTTCTGCCTGTTCTCAAACCTCCCTCCAGTTCTTTCTTGTCAGCCAGGTTGGTGGCGCCCACCTACAATCCCAGCAATCAGGAGGCTGGGGCAAGGGGATTGCTGCAAGTCTGAGGTCAGCCTGGGCTACAGAGCGAATGCAAGGCCAGCCTGCACTACACAGTGAGACCCTACCTCAAAAAAAAAAAAATTGTACATTTGATCACATATTAATCTCATTTAAAACTTTCTGTAGACCGACCAGCAACATAGCTCAGCACACTATGTGCCTGCTTAGGCAAGCACAGAGAATGGGGTTCTATCCCTGGCACTATATGCTGCATGTCAGGCTAAGCCTGCCACTCAACTGGGTGTGGTGGGGCACACCTGTAATCCCAGCACTGGGGAGGCTGAAAACAGGAGGATCACTAAGAGTAGTGAGACCTTGTACCAAATACTAAATAAATAGATAAATAAAATCTTCTGTAGCTCCCTACTGCTCTCAAGATAAACTTTTAAGTCCTTTACCTGGTTTAAAAGGCCCAATAGGATCTTTTCCCAGCAACTCAACTTACCCTGTTTTATCACCTGGGAAACCTGGATAATGTGGACACACAAAGCTATGTGCAGTTTCCTCAAATGCACAATATATTCTGGTCCTGGATATGCTGCTCTTTTGACCTGAAACACTTCTGCACCAGTTATCCGGCTAATTCCCAATGGTCTTCTGGATTGTATAGTCACTGTCATGAAACCTCTTCTGGCTACCAGAAAAGACAAATAAGGGCTCTCTCCTGCACACTCCCAGGAGATGTTGTAATCATCTTCTCCTATTTGGATGTCAGTATCATAGTATCAAAACATCACCCTTTCCTTCTTTCTTACAGATCACTGTCTTGGTGTCCTAATAACTCCCCACTGCCTCTTTTCTAAACTTATTTCCCAAAGGATGCAGGAAACTTTATGTTTAGTTAGAGTATAAAGTACTTGCTTACCATACACAAGACCCTGTGTTCAATCCCCAGCACTGCAAAGAAAAAAAAAAAAAAAAAAAAAGGAAGTTCAGTGAAAAAAAGCATATATACAGACATACATCTGTACAATATATTCTTAAGTACATGGTACTGAGATAAAAATGTCAATAGTCAGGGCCAGCCAGATAGCTCAGCGGACTAAAGGGGACAGGGGCTTGTTCCCTGGTATGCCATGCCAGCCCTGCCCCCAGGGCACATTGAGACAGTGACTGAGACTATGGGTAGTGGCACATGCCTGTAATCCTAGTGCTTGGGAGGCTGCAAAAAAGGAGGATCAGAATCTGATCTGTGTAGTGAGACCCTGTACTAAATACACTAAATACATAATATATATATATACTAAATACAATATGATGTCTCTACT